ATGCTGAGAAGTTAATTTGGATGGAACATGCAGGCATGCACACACCCACAAAGAAATATTTCTGAATGATAAAAATTGCCATCAGAATGGTGGTACTGGAAGGGAAACGTGTCTCTGGGGTTTTACGCTGCATACGCCTTGCAGAAGCCGTGAGGGCACCAGATTTAAAGCTTACATCAGGAGAATCCCTGTGAGTAGCTGAGGACTGGCAAATTCACCAAGATATAGCCCTGACGCTGGAAAGGAGCAGAGGAATGTGACTGCATCTGAGGAGGGTCAGAGATGCTCTGTTCAGCTTTGTGCTACAGACTTTAACTTGTTCCTCTCTGTCCAAAAAATAAGAAAACTCTCCTCATCAGCTGTTCACTGAAGAAGGCCCCTGATTCTCTGTCTGCAATTTTCAAAGCAGGCGCAGTGAGGAAAATTTTCTCTGATAGCCCAATTTAGATATGGGAAGATGCACAAGAAGCTGAGAAAGACGGGAAGTATTTATTTTCCCTGTCTTTTTTTTATTATTGTTTTTTGCACAGGAGCCTGGGTGCAGCTGCAGAACAAGTCAAGGACAGAAGCCAAACCACAAGCTGTACACCTTAAACGCTGCTGATGACAAAGATAATGTAGGTAGAGAGGACCACATCTAAGTTGTGGAAGTCTTTAAAAGTCCTGCTTTGTCTGAAGCAGTGTGAAGAGAAGGCGTGTCTAAAAACTCTGTGGAAAACCCATTCACTGACATGTCCCCTGTCTCCTCAGCAGTTCGACACATACCTTGGAGCCTCGGTGATGCTTTCAGAATGCCTATGGTCAAAGGCTAAAGAGTCAGAAGGGGGGTTGTGGGAGAGGCTGCTCCTGTGAGCAGCTTTGAGAGCAGAGGAACCCCACTGAGGAACAGGTCCTGTGCTCTCCAGATTGCCAAGGCATAAACAAGAGGCTTAGGATGAGGCTCAGGGCCTCAAAAGGGGGACTTGGCAAGCTGCAAAGCTGAAAGAAATACATCACATGCACCAATTTCAATAAGCATATGTGACATAACTTGGCAATATTATGCTTTTGTGGTTAATCATTTAGTTTTATCAGCTTGCAGACACATCATCTTTATTAAACAGTAACTGTCCTTCATGAATCACGCAGTTCAAGGCCAAGAAAATAATCAGAGCCCATATTATCCTCGGCGCTGAGTAGATGATAGAATGGTTTGAAAAAAAGTAAGACACTGCTTTCTGCCACCCACCACTGTTTCTCTGGGATAAGGGGCTAGGAGATGATAATGTCAGGGCCTCTTTAGTGCTAATAAATCAGACTGGCAGCTTATGTCTAGGAGACAGGAATTCTGTACAGCCCAACCCAACTTGGACCACCCCAAGGCTCTCAAGCGGAAGATGAGCAGCCAGAAGCTCCTGCACCACACAGAGAGTACCTGGGCTCTACACACAGCTTCAGACCATTTGGGTTTCTGTAAAACCAGATTTTTTATTTAATTCATACCATCCATTCAAATAATTTGGTTTTAAGCCCAGGGTAGCAGCAAGGTATTTCCAAGGTTCTTGTCTTTGTTCTAGCCCACCCAACACAGCAAAGCAGAAGAAAGGCTATCATAACCACCTATCAACCTGTAAATTATATTTCTACAAGTTGTATCTTGTTGTCCCCTACAGAGTGCTAACACCTCCTGGTGCATTCATGCTTCAGTTGGGTTGGGCAAGGCAAACCAGCTGCACCCCCAAACTGCTGTGGTGTTCCTTCCCACCTTCTCAGAGTTCATCCTCAATGTGCATTCATCTGTTTGCCTGTATCTGATAAACACAATGTTCTTCCTATTTTATCTCTCCATTATTCCTCTTAAAAAAGACTGTAATCATATGCTTCCCTTTGCAGACATTTGGGCACCTTAGTGAAATTGCTATATATTTTTAAAAGGAGGTGAGAATCTCTCCCTTAACTTATCACAGACACATTAAAAATATGAAAAATCCATATGGATTAAATATTGATTTTATTTTTTTAGAGAGCAAGTACAATGATGTTGCATTAAAATAATGCTATGTCATAGTTGTTACAGCTCTGATAGAAAAATAAACATCTCAATATACTACAGTGTCAACTCATTAATAAATATCAAAATAGAAGTTAGTAGTCAACTGAAATTAATAAACAGCTATAAAAGTATACTATTTTAAATAATAAAATATTCAGTATATTTCCAGACAAACAAAAGTAGTGATTTAAAAGTATCATTTAAAATGTAAAATGAACAGTAAGAAGTTATAAATTTATTTAAAACCTCTTCCCTTACTAACATTCTCTATGCATAAAATCTAGACAAACATTATTTATCTGTATATACTTTTTTTTACAAAAGGTAGTACATGTTAAATAGAAAGTTAAAAACTGTAGTATTATTAATAGCTGTCACACCATTGCTAAATAAGACACTTTAAAGTAGCTTTATTTTTTAAAGCAGTAGTAGGTAAAAGTGAAGAAGATGTGAGCACAGTGAATTCATCCAACATTAATGCTTTCCCAAAAGAATCTTTCATCTTTCCAACATCTCACTTCAAGATATAATTGAAGAAGCCCAAACACAATATAGGTATCACGATGAAACGTTAGGATTTGGGTAGAAGCCATTATTTTAACAAATGCCAGACTTTTTTTTTTTTTTTTTAATAAGTAGGTACCTTTTTTTTTTTAAGAGTGTGTGCAGAAAAGGAAACAAAGAGAACATGCAATCCAAAGCAGCATTTCTAAGGCTTAAGAATCTATTAGTTTTAGGTTTTTTTCTTTTTCTTCTCCCTCCTCCCCTTTCTCCCCCCGAAAAGCCAACCATTCTGAGCTGGCTCACGCTCAGTGAAACCCCACTGATTTGGCTCACTATAGAAATGCATTCACGCTGGCTAATTTTAACCTTTTTCCCCCTTTCCATGAATTTCAACTCTCCGTAAGACCCATGAGACGCCTGTGCATCGGAGCAGTGTCAAGTTCATCATCAAAAAGTAGTGTTCTCCTTAACTATTGCTCCATTTCTGCTTAGCAAATAAATCTTTTCCCCTCTCTTAGAGTCGGACAGCCAGAACACTGGCACTGTGCTTCCCTCAGAGTGCAAGTGTCACCCAGCACTGACTCAGCAGGAATGCCTCTACGAGCAGTGCCCTTTCCCAGCTACAGCTTATATTCCTTAAAACGGGCTGTTGGAGATGCTGGGGCTGGTGGGGAAGTCAGTGGGCAGATGCCCAAAGACTTTCCAGAAGCTTTAATGGAAGTCTGCAGCGTCCAGGTTCACAGAATGTGGCACAAGAGGTCCCTCGTGATGTTACATGCAAGCATTTTTTGATGAATGAAGACACGAAAAGCCTGCAGTGCCAAGGGCAGTGTGTGGCCAAACACCTGGGACAGAACCTGGTCACCTCTGCCAAACCATCCAACTTTGAAGGTGCTTCCTGCCCTGACCTAGGGAGAAGTGTGATCTCAGAGCACCGTAGGATCACTCCCAATTCTGGGAACTGTGGGACTCATGGCACCTGCTGAGGATGCCATCCCTCTTCAAGTCCCTGCACAAGCAGCAGGACCCTTCCATCTCTCTACCTTGGGCATCACTAGGCCTTATGGCCACTTCTAGGACCAAGGGTTGCTCGAAGCTGCTTCACATGTTCACTCCCTACACATATTTAGGTAGGCACACTAAGCAGGAAACAAATAGTATATATGATCAGACTGGGAAAATAATTTTTTTCCACTGTGGTCTGAAGAATACTTGACATAGCAGGTTTTCACGACACCGTAGAGAGGAAAAAATAAATCCAGTTGATAAATAGTGGATAAAATGTAAACTATGCCTATACAAATGTCCTTCCTTTTTAAGGTTCACATCCAACATTCCTTGTGAACATAAGGGAATTTCAGCTGGGCACAATGAAAATTCCTCACATACCATGTGCACGTTTTCTGGATGAAACAGCTATTTTCCCACACGCTTCTGTAGAAATGTTAGTAACCTACTCCTGATAGTTGGAAATAGTCAATTCATAGCATTTCTTCATTTTAGAAGAACCTGAAGTAAAATGCATGCTTTCTAATCGCATAAACATGCCATTTCTGAAATGGTAGACAAATAAATAGGCACAGGTAAAAAAAGTGGGATTAGAATTTGAAAAATATACATATGGATTTTAACATTAAGAAATCTGCTGTGAAAAGTCATGCACATACTGTTTGTGGAAGCAAACCTAAAAACAACTCCCAAGCCCAACGATGAGATGCAACAATATCTGCCAGTATAATTGTGGGTATAGGCACGCAGTCGAATTATTGACTTTTTTTTTTTTTTGTTCATTTTTTGAAGAAGCCCAGTGTAAGAAGTTTTATTTAAGAAGTTTGGAGCGTTCTGTTCTGAGGCTAGATATTTTTTCCTTGATTTTTACGAGCATCTTTGACGCACAATACATTGAAAACTAATATGAACTAATTTGTCTTTAATATCTCCCATATTAAGCACTATAGGAAGCGGAGTCCTTCTGCAATCACTGAGGAAATTCCTTGTGAATTACAGGCTGCTTTCTCATTTAAGGTCATGTGCTGAGGGAACACAGCTCCCTAAATAGTGAAGCTTTTGTTGGGCTATTCATCTCCTGCAGCAGCTCTTCTGAAAAACATGGTCAAAGGCAGGGGGAAACAAGTACCGAGCAAAGCCAGAGTTTCTCATGGATAGATTCCATCCCTAGAAACAAAGCCTCCTCCCAAGGATCCTGCTCTGTATAAGCTCCCCACGGGCCTTCTAAAAGCCTTGACCTGTCACATTAGCAGCAGCTTATTCTTTTTCACCAGCCTCCTCCACAATACAGCGAAGCCATGAGGGAGATGCAAGAAAAGCTTTTTTTTTTTTTCCTAAGTATTTTTTTTCCTTACAAAACTTTTTTTTTTATTTTTTTTTTTTTTTTTTCCTTAAGTATTTTTTTTTCCTTACAAAACTTTTTTTTTTTTAAAATACTTTTTTTTGTTGTTTTTAACCTCAGGCCAGCAAGCAGCTTACAGTGCAATCTGTCCTGTGAGCGTGCTCCATTTGGCCAGAACATTTTAAACCTTCAGGCAGGTGTCTGATACAGAAATACTGGCCGTGCCCCTTGGCAGGCAGCACCGCAGGAGAACAGCAGTAGCAGTGTGACGCCTCTGAAGGATGGGTGTTACAGCTCAAATCTTTCTTCCACAAAGAACCCAACTCCATTATCCCCTACCCACATCATTTAACTCCTTCTAACAGTGAAAAGTAATTTCTAAAGAAAAAAACCAAAACATTAGCTATCACTTCAGTAAATGCTTTAAAGGCCATTATGGGAAACGCATCTGAGGAATCTTTTTTGTTCAAAACAATCATCACACTGTTTAAAGAACAAAATCACATCTTTTGTAATATACTCAGATACTCTCCACTGTGCTTTTAATTTTTTTTTTTGTTGTTGTTAAGTGAAACAGATAACCAGAGACTTTGTTTCCTGCTCACTTAAAAATACTAACAAATTGTATCAAGGACAATAGCAGGTAAGTTTTTATCAACCTTTTATCTTAACACCACTGAAACCAATGGTTTAGAATCTGCTAATTTACAGAAGAGGAAAATAGTTCTATGTATTTTAAAAGAAAATGAAAGTTTAAGGTATACTTGATAGATTACAGAATTAATCTATAATTAAGATATTACAATGAAGTTATCACTAAAATCAGGGTCAGTGTAAGGAAACCCCCTTTTCTTTAAATGTATATTGTAGAATGCTCAGGGACTACTTTGAAGACTGCTTTAGAAACATTTAATAGTCCAGTTTATATTTTTTTTAAAACCAATCCCTAAAATCTAAAGCTCTTATGGCAGTTTAATGGAAGGCCCATTGTCTCTGTATTATTTTTCTCAATCCCACTTGATCCATGACCCAATAAACTGTGAACGCTCACGTAACACTTATAATTTCTTCTGCACCCTGCCTTCCTTTCACACGTACACTCCTCAGATTTCAGTGGGAATTTACAGAATAAATACAGAATAGGAAATACGAATATGCAGTAATTTCTCAAAACTGCCTATCAAGAGGTCCTGCTTTGTTTCTGTAACTCTTATCTATGACCAACAGACCAACAGACACTTTTAAGATTCATCTGGGCAGGGTGCTGGGCCATGAGAGGTTGGACCGGGAGGTCCCTTCCAACATGGTAATCTATGATTCTGTGATTCTATGATTCAATATTTAGCATCAGTAATTAACGCTGCTAAAACACCACACTGCATAATGTCTTCTGAGATGATTTTTCTTCTTGCCAGCAATATTTTAGTGCATTAGAGGTTTATCAGATTTTTGTAGGGTTCCGGCAGCATATAGTCAGTGAATCAGACCGTTGGCTGACTCTCCCAACTAGCACATAACAATAACATGTCTTGTAGCACTACAGCTGGGTGAGGGGGTAAGAAAATGCTTCTGCTTGACCTTGTAGCTCAAATTCTGCTCTCAGATAAGCTCATGTTGGTCCCGCTGTGTTTAGAAGAGTTTTGCCCATTTCTAAAGGCAGGATTTGATTCCGCATTTATAAAGTCAATGAATGTGTTGTCTTGAAAAAAAGACTCCTGTTTTCTTCACCTTCTTCCAAATCGCAGGTTCTTTTCCACATCACACTGGACACATTTCTCACAGTGCACAGTCACAAAAATTGAAGTGGTTACGTAAGGACTCATGAAATCTAATCCTCTCAACTAATTTACACGGGAAAAAAGAGCACGTGTGTAAAATCAGACTTACGTCTGGCATCATACAAAAAGAACAAAACCCTTATTTGGCAAAACACTGACATGTAGCTAGCAAACCAAACACAGCTCTGGTGCAATTTATCTGCTTGCAATGGAGTTGATGCTGCTGACTCCAAAGGTGGGGTCAGCTGGCAGTGAGCATCACAAAGACTATGCTGTTTGACAGAGGAACTCTCTTCTTTTGTGTAGCCAATCAGTTTCCAAATACCATAAAATTCACGTATAAATTTATATGTTGAAACACGTAGAAAAGCTAAAAATTACTCTTTATCAGATATAAATTATCGAGTGACATCATAATGTATAAAAAACTATATATATCTAATTTACCTATGTGTGTGCATGCATGTGTGTGCATACACACACACAACTATACACCCACACCAGTCACTAAGCGCTCATTTAATCCAGTCTTTTTTATTAAGTAATGAGGAGAAGCTAAGAGGCTAAAGCAGACAAATCGGTGGAATTTAGTTAACCAAGAGAACTACAAAAGTACCATTTACTCTATTTAAGAGCATTCAAATAGTTTTATCTATTGCTATAATATACAGCAATGTTAATATCTCAGTCACAGTTTTTGCCCATTCCCACAGAGCACATCAGTACTAGCTACATGTAGAGTGAGATCAGTGCTTTGTCAGACCAGTTCATATCTACATTCTAGGCCGTAACTAAATAAATTAGAATAACACTAAAGTGCTACATCAACACTAACGTTCCTGAACAGTAGTAACGCACATTTCTCTTTCAAAAAAAAAAAAAAAAATTTAAAAAATACAGCAGCTAGAGTTTCAAACATAGTCACGTTACGTGAATATGCTCACAGGTCACTTTGTTACAGTATTCAACAAAATGCATGACACAAAACCAAACGGCAACAGTCAAGACTCCCACAGAGTACAAAAGGTAACTTTTTAAAAGTCGTGCACGATGGAAATAAACATTTGCAGAAAACGCACTGTCTTCAGAATTCGCACTTGAAACTTTCGTTTAATCGTAACTTGCTGATGTCGATATTTATTTCCTCTGGTTTGTCACGTCTGTATGTTACTGTTCTTGTACAAACAGTGGGCAAAAACATCTTATCCTTGAAGGAGAAGATACAATTTTTATCAATGGTTAGCTAACTTTTATGTGCAAGAAAAAGATTACTGAATAGGATGGCTCTGAAATCAATTACCTTCTTTGTTGCAGATATTCTGTAATCAGCTGAAGATTTAACTTTATTGCTACTCCCCTGCAGAATTATCTGCCTGATGATAAGGACAACAAGTAACCCGATCAGAAAGGTAACTATAAAGATTATGGAAAAGACTCTGAAGTAGCTTCGTCCAGAGAAACATTCTGCAACGAAAGGAAAACACAAGTGTAAAGCCTAATGTATGGAATGGGCACATCCCTGAAACACAGTCCTATCTACCACTGCACAGCAACGTCACAAAGATAGAACAGCAGCCTGGTAGAAGTTAAAGGAAAATAAGGTAAGTTAAGGGGAAAAGTTGCCATATGCAAAGGCAATTCTGATTAAAATCAATAAATAATGGTTAAACTATTATTCTTTCAATCTACAGAACTAAGACTAAGGCTTCACTATGTTGGCCGCCATGAATTCTCTGTAAGCTGGTGAGTTTATGGCTGAAATAGAGAGGAAGAATAGTTAGAGATGTATGGGGCCAAAACAGTTTCATCTTCACAAGATTACAGTGCAGATCGTTGGCAAAATATGAAAGAAAATGTGGTTTCTTGAATCTTTGTCCAGTGCTCTCCTCACTGATAAATCTCTCTCACACAGCAAGCTCTCGCTAAAGTTATGAGAAAAGTATTCACAGTTAGTTTTCTCATTTATGAATATCTGTAAGATAAAAAAACGTACCAAAAAGTGAAGTGACAAAAGGTAACCATTTGCCTCCATTTCTGTTGCAGCGTGGACTGATTAAGCTCTATGACATTCTATTTTAAAAGATGTTATTCTTCCACAGCCCTCATAACTGTGTAGCTTTTTAGACTTGAAAAGAATATTGAAACATTAAATGTGAGGTAAGCATTCTACTTCATTCTTCCTCGTTTCTGCAGTTTTTTAGACTTGAAAGGAATATCGAAACATTAAATGTGAGGTAAGCATTCTACTTCATTCTTCCTCGTTTCTGGTAATGTCAAATAACGTAAGCATATCCAAAGTAATAAAACGTACAGATGCCATAGCAGATTTTTGTAAATATTTCTTTAAGCGTTGCTCAGACAGGATTCATTATTATTAGATGTGACTTCTCAAGGAGCTGGGAAATCTGATTTAGCAATGCTTGCCAATCACATTTCCTGTTATTATTTATCTTTTACTTTCCCTGAAGCTATAAGTGATTTTTCTCTTTTCCCTGCTTTGTTATTATAATAATACGACACACTTTTAAAAGACATTGTAACAGTGGTGAATTCAATTATTAACCCCAACAGATTTTCACCTCTTATTAAATTTACCTATAAAACACCACATACCTGAAGTTTGGTCAATGTAATGCAGCAGGTAAGCACATGAAGTTGTGCACTGGTCAAGTTTAGCTTGAGATGCATTGTTAGAATGATGGCACTGAACACAATTCCTGGAAAATAAAAGTTAAATTAAAAACCCACGTCTTTCTCCGCACTCCCCTAAAAGAGATTTGCTGACGTATCGCTTGCACATAATGCTTTCCTGTTGTTAGTAAAAACATTGCGACATTTATTTATTTTTTTTTCTGAAATGTGATGCCTCCCTCAGAATTTTATCCCTGTGATGCTTCTCAGAACCAACTAGTCAGAAGCTGTAAAGTAAAACATGTTTTTGGCTTCGAGCCCCCTTCATCTGGCCCATGCTCTGCATTTCGTGATGTGTGCTCTTCAGGGGCTGTAGCTAAGGGTCCAGCACCCTTCCTTCAGCTGTCGGCCTCTAGTTCAGCCCGAGTCTTTATTTACTTATCAACATCATTGGGATGCAGGCTGGGACTGAAGGGAGAAGATAGGTGTAGGAAACACAGCTTTATAAACATAGCATCCCAAAAACTCTTAAGACAAAGCCACATGAGGTCCTGCTGCTGGGCAGCTCAGAGGGTCAGCAGCACCATGGGAGGCGGCGCTGTCAGCCTTGCCATTTCCACTTTTCAGCTTTGCAGAAGGTGGGCATCACCAGTGATCCTGAAAAAGGCCTGACTGAATTTCTGACGAAGCTATGGCACCCTCCGAATTTATTAAAGGCACATATTTCACAGTGCCTCTGAACAAGTGTAAGCCAGCAAGGCTAACTGCATGTTATCTAGTGAAGTCTTAGTGGTCACCTTTTGTGGTGGCCCAGCTTGGCTCTCCAGCGTATTCACCACATGAGCTATAGCTCGGATATGAAGAAACAACAATTCTGTTGTGATGCATGTTCCCTTTCCAACTGAAGGCTGATCTCTCACCCTCCCTGTCCGCAGTGGGATGCAGAGATTACATGTGCTGATGGGAGGGTGTAGAAAAGCCTCGCCCAAAGACAGGGCTTCATTGACTCTCTAAGCCAGCACCTGCCCCTGACAGCTTGGTCTATCTTGTCTCCTCCTTGGGCTGCCCATTTCGACCTCCACACTGTCCCTTCCTTTCCATGGGTAAGGAAAAATGGCATGCTTTAAAACTCACACAGCAAAGACCAAGTGGTTTAAAAGTGAGTAATTGAGAATGTTGTTCTCTGGGTAAGACCAGCTCTGCTCTGATGACCGATGACAGTGATAATGCGCAGGTACCGCTCCTGTTCCACACCTCCTCCTCTCAGCTGAGAAGCACAAGGAGTGTGCAAAAACAATTTTGGAGAATATTATTGGACTTGGTGGCCTTCAAAAGTAGAATCTATCATCCGTTTTTAAAACTCAAAATTTATGGGCTTTATTTGCTACTGAGAAGATTTCATATGAAGAACCATCTTTTAATAAATATATGAAAAAAAAAGATACTCATAGGATACACCTCCTTTGACTTCAGAAAGCTGGAAGCTGGACATGGACTGCTGAACATGGATATGGAACATGCAATTCTCTTCATTGCCAGTGTGAACCCCTCAGCTACGCAGAGAAAAGTCTCAAGTATGAGTTGTTTCTATTTCCTACAGTCTAAATATCTAAGAAATATAGTACACATCCAGCCAAGCAGAAATATTTACCCTTGTTTCAGTAACACAGATTTAAAAAGTCAAGTCTAGCACAAGAAACATACCAGTTTTCTTCACAGGCTTTGTTACAAGTCGGGCAATATTCACACAAACGGCCAAAGCTCCTCGGATCCGTGCACTCACACTTTCCACAGACACATTTTCCTCTTCCACTGCAAATCTGGCCCTTTGAATTCAGGCAGTGCTTTGCTGATTGTAACGAGCACTGGCAACGGTCACCTTCCCAGCCAGCAAAGCATTTGCATTTACCAGCTTCACATTCACCATTACCTACAAAATCAGATAGCCTTGAGCCATATGCTTTTATGGAAACACAGAAAGTCAATTTTTGCATGCATACATTTGTATTGCTGGTGCTTTACGTTAAACAGAGTTAATATTGACCTTGGCTTGCTAATTAGTTTTCAAGCTAACAGTTTGGGCTGAAATTAAAACGGTGATACATATTTATGGCTGCTGTTTCTCGTTAAGTTGAGCAAAAGCTGCAATCTTGATGTTATCCTCAAATGTTTCACTAGAATTTTCCCTATTGCCTTGGATCAAAGCAGCGTGGATTAAAAATTACACAACGACCAGGAAAACAGTCTTCAGGCAAACTAAACAAACTTCTCTTTAGCAAGAAAGCATTTAACTCAAATAAACAGCACGAGTCAGTGGAGGAAGAAGTATCAAGTTCATGTGCACATGCCAGGTTGGTTTTTTTTTTATTTATTTTATTTTCAGAAGCACGTGTCGTAGCACTGTTTTTCTGCCTTTCTAAAGGACAAATGACTGAGCTGGGCAGGTGGGTATGAACTGTAGGTTGTTTAATAAGAACTTAAAACGCATAGTCTCAAGGATTCGAAGGCAGTGAAGAACCTCCGGTGGCCTTTACAATTTTCAAGACAAAGCAGATGGAACTTTAAGGCAAAATCCATATGTTTTCCATGTTGTAGCACATTTAGGCAGCTGTACAACTGTCATGCTGATAACGTCTCGCCACAGTATTACAGCATGGGAAAGCATCTTTAGGAAATATAGAAATAGAAAGCGCATAACACACAGACAAATCTCATGAGGTCTCCTCAACTATGCTTCAGCAGTACCCAAGTTTCACACAAACTGTGATGGCCCCCTCATGCTCCAGGGACCCACAGAGCAGCTGCAGGAAGACAGTCCCATCTCACAGACGGGATCCCCTAAATGGGAATGAGGCCAAGGTACAGCCTGGCCCTTATTTTCACCTCGGCTGGGCAAAATGAATCATAGGAGAGTGGATCACAGGACAGTGGGTTGTTGAACATCTCAGAGCAATGCTCTGCACTGGAAAATATTCCATGAGGAGGTACAGAACTGAGCCATGGCCCCAGGTGGCAGGTTCTCCTTGTGGTACCATCGGGCAGGACTCCATCACATGGGACAGTCTCCAACACAAGAGGGAGACAAAGAATTCCCCGTCTCCTCTGCTGATCAGGGCACCACATCTCAAGCTTTAGGAGCTTATAAGTTTGAAAGGTCTGCTTAGGGTAATAGTCAATTTGAAAATTTGGTTGCGGGGGGAAGAGGAGTGAGAAGATGAACCATAATTCTTTCTGTTGGAATGAAGTATTTAAATGACTGGGTGAAATTATTTCTCTTCATTTTACATAAAGTTCACAGCCATCAGCAGAGCAAACCCAAAAGAAGTCTAGGAAAATCCGTAGTAGTCTATATTTATCCAACTGCAGTTGAAAAAACTGGTCCCTCAATTCACTTATTGTTCAGTATACTTAATGCAGGATAGCAGTACAGATTTTAAAATATGTAATTACTTCTGAGGGGACAAAAATATACTGGTAGAGAGTCAGTAATGATACTGATTCAATCTTATTTTTCCTCAGTAACTCAAAAGTACATGTTTTGTATTTTGTTCATACGCAATTTTCTTTAAAAAAACACAAGGTAGGGCACAAAAAGAATAAGAATTTCTAACAACTCTCCCTGTTTACGTTTCACTTCTATTCTCCTTTTTGGAGTAGGTGTTTGGAACTGTATTAGCATATATATCAGTATTTGAAATCATGTTTCACTGTATCTCTGACAAGACTGATTTAGGGTGTTACAAAATTGGAACCTCATCTGGAAGTTGCAATTGCTGCTAATCTCTTAGTATCTCATATTCCCATTAGACTGAAATGTATCAGCTTACTTTCACAAATAATGTTACTGTTTTATCCAAGATATCATTACCTCTGGCGAAGTTTGAGATTCAAATCTTAAAATATCTAAACTTAGAAAAAACTCAATAAATCCCCTAAAAAGCAGTGCAGAAGTTCAGAAGACAGTGCATTCCTCTGTGGTGAAGAAAGCCCAGGAGCGTGAATTCCTATCAGGCTGTTCTGGATACTTCACACACTAGTTCTGCACACACAATTCTTGTACTTGACAGCCTTAAATCATTGTTTTCAGCTGCATCAGGTATATAAGCTTCATAAAACAAAACCAAACCAAACCCAAACGGAAACCAAACTCGGACATAAACTCCACAGCTTACCAGAACATAGGTTTCCCTGGTGATACGGGCAGGAAAAATCATCCATTTCACAGTATTTGCCATACACCTTGCCCAGCTTGCTTTTGTAGCAGAAACATTTTCCATCTATGCAACTTCCTTGACCGCTGCAGATGGGCTGGTCCTGGTGTTGTCTGCACATCTCTGAAGGGAGCGTGTCTTTATTAGAGCTACAGTTATTGTCCTGGCAATGGGCCTGTTTGCCATCAGAAGAAGTTTCCTCAGCCCATACTCTTTTGTGCTTTGTGCTGTCTCCAGACTGACAGGCACAGCTTTGCTCCACATTAACCACAGCGGTTTCATTGAAACCAATAGGCTTAAGTATTGCATATTTTCTTCCTCCAGTTGTATCACACCCTGTCATTGTAACCGATACGTTGAAAAGCACCTAAGAAGAGATAAAGACACGTTTTACATTATTATAATTTCCTATAAATTGCTTAAATTTTTTAACACATGGATAAAGCAGAATCTTACATTGCATATGAACATGCAGTAGCTAATAACAACAAAATACACAGTGGCCATTTGTCAAATATGATATATTAGAAATGACAAGCATCACAAGTACAGCTTAAATCCTAACAATAGAAGATTGACAGCAGTCTACTTGTCATGTTAAGAAAGCATAGCTGCATAAGACAAGTTTAATGCAAATTAAATAGCAACAGAATTACCATCATCCTCCTCCTGATCTTATTTAATGTGTACATTCTGTTATAGAAATACTCAGATGAGAATTGGGACTGGATTGAGCAAGACAATACAGAAACAGAAACGCTCTTCATGAATGTTCTTGCTGCAGAAATAGTCTGTGCAAATAGAAACTACAGAGATTTTTTTGGATGGCCCTATCTACTCCTACTAAAACACAGAAATGTCTCACACCTTAATATCAGCTTATTTTTCTCAGTTCCTACTATAGGAATGGAGCAAGAGAGTCTTTCTGCTCTTGCTGTGGTCCTGGGCAGACCAAGCGCTGCTTCAGAGTGGACCTAGTGCCCAACTCCTGGCCACGTTATGACCTTCACCACCATGCCCCAGGTCCTCATCCCACCAGTGCCCACTGCAGCAGCAGCCCCTGTGGCTTTCCAGAACCCTGGCACAGGACCCTGGATCATTTCGGTGATTAGATGAGTGCCACAGAGTCTCCATCAGTCACTACCAAAACTCTTTGACAGCTCTGACAGCTGCGATACTTTCACTGGATAGACAGCTTGTATTTCATGATTGCTTTTTGGATTTGTTTTTTTGACCGGTAGGCTTCTGACAGGGTAGGCAATAGCCTGCTGACAGAAGGCAGACAGAAAACAGCTGACAGAAAACAGCTCCTCCTCGCCTCCTCACACAGAAAATACAACCAAGAGGAAAGGTGAGAAAAGAACCTAAGAGAAGCAAATACCTTTACTCTTTATCACCAAAGATTTCCAAACAAAAAAAAAAAAAAAAAAAAAAAAAAAAAAGAACTTTTTTTTTTTTTTTTTTTTTTTTTTTTTTTTTTTTTTTTTTTTTTTTAAAAAAAAAAAAAAAAAAAAAAAAAAAGAGAAAACCTAAGAAACTGACTACATCCGAGGTGGAAACTACCCGCAAAGACTAAGACCATTCATTTCTCATGGCTGTCTCCCCCTCCCGCTGCGCCCCCACACGAGAACAGCCGAGCCCTTGGGGACAATGGTGGCTTTGTGGCCAGCGGGGCTGCGGCTGCCCACACGGACAAGGGGAGCAGAATGCTCTGCAGAAGCATCTGCTTCTTAACGTTGCATCGAGGGGGGCACGCAGGCTTTGTCTCTCCCTTAGTTCTTCTTGTTTCTTAAATGTGTCACTACACACGAAACCCCCTCGGTTGCCAACTCTCTGTGCATGAAACTTCTTCCCTTAGATTAGGGGGCAAAAGTGTGGCTGTGCAGTAATTAACTCACACGGCAGGTGCGCATCACATGGGGAGGACAGGCTGCAGCTAGAGAATGTGCTTTTCATTCAAGACAGAGCCCTGCTAGAAAACATACTTTACACTATATACAATACACTACTGGAGGAACGGTGGGGAGGTGGGAGGGAAGGCAAATGATGCCTTGAGTACAAGTTCTGAAACGTGATGGGTCTGAACCCAGCAGCAGAAAGATTAAACGCACCGCAACTAAACGATACAGCGTGAGCACTGACACTTGCTAACAGCCAAGGTTAGCTTTGCACCCTGAAGACACCATGGGATTCTTCCAGAATGTAACACACTTTGTGTTTTGGTAAGAAAAGGAAGGAAGGAGGATTAGACAACAAAAGGAATGTGAGAATTAAGAAAAAGCATTTTGCCTGTAAACAAATACTGAAAGGAGGATTTACGGTTAAAATAAATGAATCTCTCGAGGATGGCTCATTTTCAACAGCAGCAGAGGTTCAGGACCACATGCAATCTTTTATAATCAACTGGCTTGGCTTTTTATTAAAAAGAAACAGATATAAATATTTTTCTTTTCATTAAACAGAACAAATTCCAGTCCTATTTCTTATGGCATGCACAGGGAACAACACTGGAGAAGAGATGAGTTAAGAAAAACATAGAAAACCTTCCTTAAACTGTAGAAGCTAATCACAGCAGGCTGTATAGACAGAATTCAGATGAGCACAAAATGCATATAAATGGACTTAGTTAAAATTCACACTTTTAATCTACTGATTTGTTTTGCTATTCCTACACACAGGCACAAGTAAAATCACACCAGCTGAGACATATGCACATGTCAAGAAGGAAAGAACTCCTTGACCCTGCACTCCAGAAACACAGACCTCTTCCTGGCAAGCTAAATGAATTACTCTACTAGTCCAAGCAATTAAATAAATATATCAAGGCACAGAGTTGTTCTGGGAAGAAAACCATAGTCATTATATTTGCCAGACATCTTCCCTCACATTTTCACGGTGCGTGATGCTCCAGTTTTACAGCCCATTTCATTCAGTAGGTGGCACCAATCCAAATGGGGATAAATCATTTTATTAATTTGATTTATAAAATAAACTAATTATCCACAACCCTGATTGTGCATGAAGACTACTAGAGCAGGGAGAGGGAAAGGTGGCGTCTAGTACAGACCCAAGGAACACAAATTCCAGTGATTCTTTTCAACTGGGTGATTATCTTTCAACCTCTTTACGTACAGATTTCATCACAATGAACACGGCCATTGTGCCCAGTGGGGGACAAAGGAGGAGAATTTAATGGACGTTAGCTTTCAGGAAAAGCTTTGAGCCCCAGTTCCATGAGATTAGTGAGAATTAAAATAAGATTCAGGAAAAATAAAACCAGAGAATAATAGAGAGTCTGTGGTCATTAATCACATAAACCCATTTTCAGTTTAAGTAAATCCCTAGAAGATTTCAGACCATTGAAACCCAACCAAACAAAAACCCAAGTATTCCACTTCCTTGAAGAACGAGAACTATCAACATACTTCTTCATTATATCCCACATTTTTACATCCTTCCATGCCAGTTTTCTTACTTCCATCAGGACAGATTGCAGTGATATTGAAATGAAGACCTTGGATCTGGTTATCGACTTGAATTCTTACTTCAGAGATTAGTTTCTGTAACCAGAAAACAAGTTTTAGTGGCATTGCATCTCAACATATAATGTGACTAACACCAAGTACGGCTACTGTGTCTGACTGAAAATGAAGAAAGCTTGTCTGTGTGAATAAAGGAATGAATTAAAGCATTGTTTCCCATATAAAGACCCGATTACATTCCAAATATACACAACCAGTGAACTGGTAATTCTGATAAAGAGGATTACGTTTTCCAGAAAAAAATGTTTTCAGCTTTCTAAATTGGTTTTGAGACTGTATTTTTTGCAATTTGAAAATCTACTTTAACAACCACACGCAATATAACCTGCTTATTGTTTGAGAGACTACACTGCCTTTTAGCCACACATTTAAAATGAAACAGTAAACATACATACAGCTATTGTTATCCAGCAGAAAAGGTTCCTAATTGACTTGACACTTTATAAACTTCTGATATTTTGCATCTGTCTTGGAAAAGTTTTCTCTGAACAAACCTTAGGGTGATCTAAAGGCTGTTGGGATTATTCTTACTGATATATTTGGGTCAGATAGGACTTTGTAAGTCAACAACGCATTAGGGTTTTTTATGATATAAAATAATTAAAAAGCCAGCTACTTTGTAACTTGCATTCGCTGTATGCTCTAAAATCTTTCTTGCTTCCAAGAAGGAATATTGCTTCTTGACCTTTTAAAAAATTTTTTAAAGCTGTACACACCAACAAGCTGAAAATTGCACAAAGAGATTATTAAAATTCCTAGCATATTAGTATTAAAAAAATTAGTTAGTGGGATATTTTTACTGCTACAAATGGAAATTTAATTACATGAATCTGAACACATGTTTATTTTACTAACTTTTTTGAAAATTAATGACTCATCTTTTTTGCTTTTTTTGCCAGGGATTTTCAGCCAGGGTTTTCCACAACTAAGCCTAAGGTTTCCCTGCCTAGAACCAGAGTGCAAGAGGCCCACTGTCATCAAACATCAACATTAAATTTATCTTCTAATCTAAGTACTTTTGCTTTCAAGAAAGCAACACATTCAAGCCCTGTGTGTTTGTATATTACAAGCTCCTAAAAGTATGATAAAAATCTCGAAGCATCAAATCCAGTGAAGTTTAGGATGGGAAAGAAGATACCATGTAAAAAAAAGAAAATAAAGCAAGAGCAAACTGGGGGTGCCTGGAGCAGGAAAGTCCCACAGAATCGTCCATTGAACTAAATAATCATTTTGTAAAGTTTTGTTTCCTCTCCTTGAATGTTTGCCCTACACTGTGCTCTAAAAACTGGGATACAATTTAAAAGTGGCATACAAAAGGACTATGATCTTCAAAATTTTTTGCCAGCAATTTCCAGCAAACCTCCATATTCAAAATGAGATTTCTCAATTATTTAAGCGAAAATACAGTTATCAGTGAGAATTTCTCTGCAGTTTTATTACACCTAACCTCCTCTGCTTTTGAATGTCTTTGCCTTCTGCACAATGTTTCCAACATGACAGTGAGGAAAATGTGCACAAACCCGCTCTATTGACTAGGAACAGACATAAGACTCTTCATTATAACTAATTTTCTGAAAACAAATAGCCCAATTTAGATGGTTAACCTAGTGCAATGGATAATTGCAGCCTCCCATGTCCAACTGATTAAAAATAATGTGATACAGTTGATATCTTGCATAAAGTTTGTATCTGATTTCTCAACATTTAGAACTTGCATGCTTGTGTAACTTGCCCACCTCAACAGCATTCAACCATCTAAGCCATCATGTTAATTTTAATGCTTTATGGCCTCCCCATGCCCTAGTACATCAAATGTACATTACTCGGCTTTGTTTTCAAAACCATTTATGCCCCCTTTTACATGAATATCTTTCATTCACTATCAAGATGCCAATTTCCAATTTGAGAACTATCATGGGATAGTGTCACCCACCAACCTGGACATTCAGAAAACTAGGGAACTTATCCTCGTGGACTTCGGAGAGAAGTCAAGATCCTGGAAACTCCAACTTTAGGCTATGAAAGGTGAAAAACCTCTGTACAAATATGGCATACAACATTGTCACTGTCATCGTACCTGATAGGCTTCTACCACCAAATCATTGAGATTTGCTGCTTGTGATTCTATCTGTCTTGCAACAGTACCAGGCAACAGAGGTAACAGATCCTACGAAAAATAAAGCCATTTATGCACAGTTTTAATTTTTAATATCAATATTGAGCTTTCAAAATTGGAAAAAGAAATCAGGTTTCTAACCTACTTTATACCAATGGAACTGGCTTCCTTGAACTGCAAAAATAACATTGATGTTATTGTCAATCAATTTTTCAGAGAGCTGCCCAAGAGATGGATGCTCCTGCAAAATACAACAGAAAAGAGAAGACTGGAGATTAGTAGTCAAAACCCTTCTATTTCACATATGACACAACACAGGATTCCAACACTGTTCCAGTCCTTATTTCTAAATGTACAAATCCATGCTAGGCCTACATCTGAAAGAAAGTGGGACCAACCAAATAAAAAGATCATGAAAAAAGAAATCCTCAAGGCACCAGCCAGACTGTGATGGATTTATCTGTTGCCAGCTGTGCAAGGGTGCTGCACAGAGTGAGGACTAAGTCATACAGTGCTACTTTGTTGTTTTGAGTCTGTTGCTTAAGAAGTATGGATATGATGTCGTCCATGGTCCATCCAGAAGAATAACAAGATTCCTGAAAATGACAGATAGGTTCTTGTGTCAGGGAAAAAGTATTAGATGAAGGCACCAAGATAAGTTCTGCTTTTGGGAACAGCAAGGCAAGTAATTAAAAGTTTGTTTCTCAGAAATGTGTGTTTTGGCACCAGGGATCAGATACAGCAGCTACATCCAGCCAATGGGTCAGGTTGTAGCAATGCCAGTATGCTGTACACATCTTACTTAGGGCCGACAGCTTTTTCCCCTGTATGTCCAAAACCTGTCTCAGGAGTGATGCTTCCAGTCCTCACCATGATGACCTGCTACGTTTTCTTAACCGCACTTGTGCTTGCAGAAGGTAGCATGAGTTTCATGTCTGTCCCCAGTAATGACATTGCTCTATTTGGTGAAGTGCCTGTGATGGCATGTCCTCCACCCGTGCCCTGCCCTTCTACACTTCTCATTGAGAGATCTGACATGGATTTGAGAACAAGAGCTGTGTTGCTATCCCTTCACCCAAGATCTGGGGAAGCACAAGGGTGTCCGTGTGGTCCCATTGGGCTTTGTAAGCCTGGGCTCTGTGAGATCCCTCCAGACCCAGTACTCTAAACCAAACTGTATCTGAAAGTCACTGCTCAGTTACAATACATCTGTGAATGCTTCTCAAGAAGTAAATACAATGCTTAAATTAATGAATAAACATAGAGAAGTGACTGGGGCCTTGGTCTGTGTTTCCCCTTTCAGAGATTTCACCTGGACAATTCCATTTATGTCAGATCCATCAACCTCTTTCCCCCATATACTTCTGTTGTCTTTCTTTTCCTGATATTTTTCACCACCTGACCCACAATGTTGCTCACTTGCACAAACACACTCTGTTTCCCTGCACAATTCATTTCTCCTCAGAGTGCCACTTGTTCCTCAAGGCAACCTGCAAGTCACCTCTCTCCCAACAGTAATCTGAATGCCAAGACAGCTGAGACAAAGTTATGCAAGGGGGCAAAATCCATCATGTATTTCACCATACATTCCATCATATTGCACCCTTATAAAGAGCCTCGTGTGGAAAGAACAAAGGAGTTTCTTGCTGCAGTTTGATCTCAGCCAGGGTCCACGCCTCTCATTTTTTCTACCCTTTGGTAAGAGATTATATTCCTTAAGATAAGTGATGGAAGGTAGCAATAAACGGCTGCTGCTGGGGAGTGTGCCACACACGAGGGCCCAGTGAGCATCCATTCCCACTACGTAGCTGTTGTGGGTCAACCCAAAGCAGTGGCTTTGTTGCCACTCTCAGTGGCCTGCAACACATTCCTACAGCCTCCTGCCTTCTCCGTGACCACAGACCACAGTGTTGGGGCCTCCATCGTGCTGCACAAGCCACATGCAACTGGCTGGCAGATCACAGACACACCAAGTGGTCCCAGGGCACTGGCAAGTGAAGCCAGACATTCTGTAAATACCTCCTGCACCATGAATGTGTGAAAGACATCACAAGATAGTGGTCAAATAAGCCAGCCTTCTGCTTAACGCATGAAGTGGATTCCATCGAAGTGGCCCTCCAACATCTCTGCAACTAAGGGCAAAACCCTGGGATCAGTGCTATCAGGAATGGGTCTCCAAGCCCTCATTAAACAAAAGCTTATTTAGATGGAGCTTACTAAAGACAAGAGACAACATACATACAAGTGCAAGGGTTGCAATGACTAGACCCCCAACTACCTCATCTGCTCACAAGTATACTTGTCAGCTCTAACTCACCAGTGTCCAGTACATTAAAGTCTCACTTCAGATTAGAAAGAAAAGTTGTCTTTTTATTAGAAGGGACTTTAGAAAAAAAAAAAGCATCAACAGACCCACACTGTCTTTTTCATTTTAAGCATGTAAAGAGATGGCACAAAGAAAGGTTGGTCACTCATGGAGCCTCATGTTGCTTGCTGTAAAAACCTTGCTGTACTTTATGTATTTTTGTCTTATCTCTTCCCACTACTGCTCAGGCGAATGTACATTCATTTTAGATTATCTTTCTTGTTCCAATTACATCATTCATTTTATTATTTTAACCTACTGTGTTAAGCTGAGAAGATAACTAATACAGATGGTGAGTATTTCAGTAAGGGAGTTAACCAAGCACAGATCTAATTAAAATGGACTAGACTTCATTCCTGTCTTACGCTTTTTTGCTGACCTCTGCACGACTGCTCAGCAAAAGTTAGAAAGAAAACAGGCAGAAAAGTGACTAACTGGAAACGCTTCTGATCTAAAGGTTAAGCTTCTGCCAATGAATAAAGCAAAGTCCTCTTAACTGGCACAAGGAGGAAATAAATATATGCCAAAAAGCAATCTTCTCAAGACTACCAGAAGACAGGAATCAAAGTAGGAAAACAATGTGATTGCAGACAGCTCTTCCATTTAGCATAGCACAACAAAATTGCATTGATAAGGAAAAAAAAAGCAAAAATATGTTTCATATGATATATTTTTAAAAAGCTGACAGGTTTTCATGACGTTTCATTAAAATATTAAATAGTCTTCCCCCCCCCTGATTTTACTTGCTCATTTGAAGTTGCTTTATGGATCTCTATGACTAAAATAATCAGAGGCTATATATCACTGAGATGAAAAAAAAAAGCAGGAAACCAGTTCATTTGCCTTTACAGATACTATTGTGTTATCATGTCAAATCTACTCCAGAAAACGAGAAAGATTTCCATTCTACCTCTTTTCTATTACTAAGTGCATGCCCACTATTACATGTGGGCATTCAAGAATTTGCCCATGGTTGGAAAAGATATGGGCTAATAGCCCGAAAACACAGGGGCCAAAATGTGCCACCACAGATCCAAGCATCTTTCAAGGTCATTTCATTTGGGTGGCTAAAAAGGCAACTTCATTTCACAAAAGGCATCAATAGCAATAACCATGGAGATTTCTTATTCTATATGGGACAGTAAAATCATCATCTTTCAGCCCAGAATCCAGAAAACACTTCCTTCAGTCAGCCATAAATCTGTCATAGTTCCTTAGAAAGAGATTAATTAATTTAGTCTGTATTTTATATTGGTGAGGTTTTGCAGCCTTTATTAACTATTAATTACAGAAATTAACTTTTGAGAAGTTAATTTATCAAGCTGGACAGAAAATAAATATAGTTTTTTGTTTTGTTTTATTTTGTTTTGTTTTCTGAGAAAGATAATATCTTTATTACCAAAGGAATCCTGAACACCAGGATAAGATTTGTTCCTTCAGCTATTGTTAATAGGCAGAGCAAAATTCCTCTCATTTATTGCACAGAAACTGGGGAGGTGGGGAGGGGGAGAGAAAAAAAAATAGAGATAGGGACACCATAACCTGTAAGTATGCTCTGCTTTGGGAAAGGAAAGTTTCGGTATTATTCGCTTTAAGTAGAATAAAGGAAGGGGTTGTTTTTATCCCGAGAACCCTGTAGAAATACCGAAACTGAACTGACTGGCTGGAGGGAAATAAATAATCCTGACATCTGTGAGGGAATATCCAAGAGGTGACAGAGGGAGTACGCGAATGCAAGAACATCAGATAATCGGGAATCCATGGTATTATTTGCTTTAAGTAGAATAAAGGAAGGGGCTGTTTTTATCCCAAGAACACTGTAGAAATACCGAAACTGAACTGACTGGCTGGAGGGAAATAAATAATCCTGACATCTGTGAGGGAATATCCAAGAGGTGACAGAGGGAGTACGCGAATGCAAGAACATCAGATAATCGGGAATCCAAACAACCTTCCTGTCAGCACACGCTCAGCTCCCTCCTCCGCTCAGCAAGGTCCTGAACACCCACCAACTCCCAGAAACCTCCCGTATTCCGTGCTCACACACCACACGGCCGCGCTTCCTGCCGGCTCAGCATCCTCGCAAACACCAGTGCCTGGGACTGAATTTGGGTCTAGCCTAACTTACACGTAGCCCTCACCGACCACTAGTGCCTTGCTGGCTTGAACACAGGCTGTATACAGCCAGCACTGAGAATAGAGCTGGAATGTGCTCTGATGATACCACGGTCCATATTCCTGTTTTCTGGTGATTACATGGCTATTAAAGGAGTGATTCATCTTTCTTAAATAAACAATTCACATTTATTAAGGAAGTAGCCAAAGCAAATAAAACCTACACATCTTAGGCAAAAAAAAATTCCTTTCTCCAGTCCCTCATGACTACTTTATACATTCTTGAAGACATTATTTTGAAAGCTAAAAATATCTGCTGAAGGCGTATTATTTTGCTACAGTGGATTTGATGCAACTTTTTGCACAGGTACGTATTACCACACATTGGCTTTATACTGCAAGGTTCAAAGGTATTTAATACTACATTACCATAGCAAAGCTTTGTGGCACAAGAGTATTTTCTAGTCCATCGTGGTTGAATCAGCTCATTGCTGTTGTATGTCTTCTGGTTTACTCTTACCAAGCCTTTTCAATCAATGCATCCGTGCATCTTCTGACCATAATCCATGCCCACTACCTTTGCCTTATAAGCAGGATTGTGCAATTCTTACATCTTACCAGCTACTTCTTGTGCAAAAATATCACATCAGACACTTCCTACTTATATTTTTTACGAAATATGTGTGATTTTTTATGAGATGGTAATAAAAAACCACACCAAAACCAGCAACATATCCTCCTCTGCTGTGTGTTGTTGCCTCAGACTCCAAAATACTTTATCCCAGACAAAAAGAATGTCAATATTTCCAGGTGATTGATTCTTTATTTCACAACTTGCCTACCCGGAAAAATACTATTCTAATAACTGAAATAAAAACAATGCTTTGACAGCAATCTAAAAACCTCCTTTAAGCAGTTTTACGCTGCTTCTCTGAAGACAGAATCTATGACATATACCTTACCATACTCGTAGCTTTGATGTACACATTATCTTTCAAATGACAGTTTCCATCATGGGGAATTACGATCCCCGCTAATTTACTATCAAGGGCCAGATGGGAAGTTTGATCTGTCATCACGAGAAGCAGTCGCTTTGCTTCTTTACGCCATCCAATATGGCTCTAAAAAGAAAACAAAATTAGGCATAAGAAACCAGTAACAAACTATTTTCTGAAATAATAAATAACAAAATGAATGTGAAAGTCTACTTTCAGCTACTACATTGCTGAGCAGCACTGAGTTTAAATCAGGCTATTTAAAGCATTTTGTGTGGATATATATATTATGTACTAGGTCTAAAAACTACCATGAGTTAGAGATCCACTTACCACTTTGCTTTTTAAAGGAAGTTCTCTCAAAATATATACAAGTTACGCATTATATAGTGGGCTTGGGTACAGCTGCCACATCGTGTGTGTCACTATTACACCCAATTGCAATGTGTAGCATTTGTAAAATTCTCTGGGATCCAAAAAGCACTACAACCATAAATATGCATTCACTCATATCGGTATTTGGTGCTGCCTTCTATATTTACTTTGTATTTATTTACTTTATATTCTCATCATTTATAATTTTCTTTTCCTACACAGTGTTCCAGAAAGGACATTGGCATATGATCAACAAATCAATAAACTAAAGTTTGAGTGCCTTCATGCACCTGCAAATTGAGAAACTCCTTATCATGCAGTAAAATACTACATCTATCCACCATCGGAAGGTAGCATCCAAGCATACCAAGGAAGTAGCATCCACAAGGGTGAATTTAATGTGTTTTAGGAATTCTGTGATGGCAAGGAGGTAGCAGGGCAAACATCTCTAAACTGGGTTAGGTGCCAATTTGTATTTCCACAACATTTATTTCCCTGCAAGGAACAAACGGCTGCTTTAAATGAAACTTAAGAGGCACACATGAACCAGCTTATATTCTTTTCATTATTCCCCCTCCCAATCATTCCATCTTCTTCTTCACTAACTCCATTCTCCCTCCTTTTTCCTCCTTCCTTGCTCCTCCTTTCTCCAATGCTGTCTCATCTCTACCGTTTCCCTTAACACTACCAGGCATGTCTCACCTCATGTGAAACGTGGATCTGCAATACAGCCCATGCACTCAGCCAGGCTTCGGGACTTATTCTCTGCCTCCCTTTCTTTGCCTTACAGAAAGAGCTTTACCTCCCCTCCCAGGCTCACTCCCTGCTAGCTCTGAATGGGGATTAAACATCTCCTAACAGCAGGGATAATAAATACAGAGAGGTGTGGTGTGTTTTCCAGCTTATGCATTAGGCATCAGCCTCCCTCTGACAATCCTAGACAGCATTCCCCTAAAGAAGGGGTATTTTAAGTTTTATTTATAAACAGGCTATATCTTAAATACTCCCAAATTCTCCTCTTGCTCCTAAGACTCCATCATTTCATTTTGTCACCTCAAGACTCCTATTCTCATGTGCCACAGCAAGCAAAACTCTAAAGCGCTTCATGTCCTAACCTGCTACCGCTTGCAACAGGGATGTATTGGTTAAAGCAAGATGGAGCAAGTCATAAAGTTCTATTGTAGGGAAAATGAGTGCACATTAATGTAAATTAGAGTTCATGACGGTCGTTATGAATCGCACATTGTTCTCATCCATTTTGGTTCACAATTCAGTCAGCAGGAAAGCCTCCCCATTCTCATGAATGTTTCCATTCTATTGTTTTCGGAAGCATATATTATTCTAGAGCTCACGCGTCATAAGTGTGGAATGTGTCCAATGAGAAACATTGAATTTTAAAGAATTTTTCCAAAACTCCAGAATAACTTTTCGTAACAGCTGTGATTGCAATGTCTATGAAGAGGGCCTTTATTTACCTGCTTTAAAGCTCATCAAAATTTGAAACTTAAATTGAGCCAAACTACTAATTTGTAGCATAGTTTGGATTACTTTTTGTCCTTGACTCATTCTACTGCTCCAAAAACAAAGAACGCGAAGGTGGGCAAGATAAAAGAAAAACCCTGACATCATCCCAAGAGATGAAAAACACACCAAGCCTGTGATATGGACAGGAGTTGAATTACCTTCTTTAAGAGAACCAGAAAGAGCATTAGTAAACCCATAAATAGGCCGACTTTCAAAATTCCTACTGCAGTACTACGCTTAGAGAAAAACATGCAAAATAGTCCTTATAGAGCAAACAACTTCTCATTATGTACCAAAAAAATCTTATTATTTAATATGTTTATAGATTGGGCACCATGATGGAGATCTTTTCCATCCTTTTCTGCATGGGAAAGGTGATGATGAAATTTCATCAATATACAAAAGTTAATTTTTAATGGATTTGTATTGTTTTTAATATAGATTCTTTAAAAGCTGAGATAACATTAAAGTGTATTTGTTTTCTTTAGCTACACAAGCAGATATGTAACTGATTCTTCAGTTTTCAAATACATTCTTAAGTAGAAGGAATGTCAATGAAGCATTGTCAACTTAGAAACACAAGGAGGGCTTTAATGATTTTGAAACTAATTTTGTAATTGACTGGAATTAATACACATGTCTGTTCAAGCAAGAAGCTATTCCTTTCATCATCCATCCTATGTTGGTTAGGCTGGTTAAAGCCAGAATTTGAAGAACATCATTAACTAATACTGAAAAATATATCCTTATACTCTCCTTATTCAGTTTCAACAGGAAGCAGATATGTAGAGCTAATGGAAAAGGAAGAAGAAATCTTCTTTTCAGTCCTACAGCTGACATTTTGAATTCAGAAACACTGAGCACCGTTGTACCAATATACATGTAAATATATATTCATGTCTGAACTACCACTTAGTCTTTTGTTAATAAGCTCCTTACCTGGCACACTGCTGCTTGGAGCATCGCATCAAAACCCCCTTCAGGTGTATCAATATTCCCAGAAATTTTTTGTTTATTCACTGCATTTTTGAATTCTGCTATATTGTCAGTCAGGGACAGCACGTGAATATAACCGTGAGGAGGCATACAATCTAAATTATAATCACTGTACAAAAACAAAACAAAACAAATATCTAACACATTCTATATTTTCCATGTGAAGGAGATGTAAATATTGCATCCCTATTAACCCATAAAATCCCGAGAGTATATGATCATTTACAGAGTGGGACAGCTTTGCTTTTCATTACCCTGAGAAGGGGCCATCACAGCGAAACATTAAGATCCTTTAGTAGATGGATACACAGGCTACTGGTTCAAAACTAAAATAAAATCTAAGTTCCTACATCCACTAGTAGCAAGTACATGAAAATAATGTTGGGATTAGTGACAGGCACCTCATTAAAGGAATGGGAAACTCCATTTTCAGTGAGATCTTAGTTGTAAATGATACTTTTTGAAATTATGCATAAGGGAGAAAGTATGAAGTCTGACATAAGAAAGCTAATGTCACAGCATTTATACAGGTCATTGCTTTGTGACTAATTTATGGCAGTGGAATTTATGGCACAAGCTGAAGTGCTCCTCTGATTCAGAGGTGCTGAGCAGCATTCAACTCACTTCTGTTGCATACAATTTAGGCATCCAGACTATAACCTGCCCCCCCCAACTCAATCTACATTCAATGAAGAGAAACTGGCACTTTAAGGATTAATACCTCTGCAGATGTCTACTTTTAGGCACAATGAATTGAGTACTAATTGATGTCCACTCACTATATAGACAAGTCTAGATGACTGTTTTATTCGCAGACATTTATCTCTATCTAATGAATTCCACCACTAGTGCCCAATTCAAAAGCCACTGAAATCAAAAAAGATAATTATGGACTTCACAGAACTTTGGATCATGTCTTCCCAGGAAAGATAATAATGACCAAGAAGATATGAACAGTTAATATTCACTTTTCTAACTATCATGGTTTATACAGATTGGAATTTGTTGTGAATAATCTTGTTCTCCAGAGGATCTTGGAAGTGATCCCTTGCTTTATGTAAGTGTTGAATGCAAGGTATAAAAGACATGGCATGAAAAAAGAAATGCAAGCCAGAACACCTTTCTTATTTAAAATGGGAATTCCTTCATATTACAACTGGAATTAGATCAGAGGATTGCTTTTATTCATTAAATGAGATGAAAGAAACTGCATCAAATTGACGAAAGCAGTTTTAGGAAAAGAGTTAATGAATACACGACCAGAAACCAGAAGAGAAGTCCTAGGTCAGAAAGTACAAAACTTTGTGATGAATCTAGGCAACATATAGCCAAATAACTAAGAACACAACAGCTGACCATAAAATTAAATGCAAGACATAGTCAAATATGCCAAAGCAGCATGTTGCTTGGCTTGTTTTACTAAAGAAAATACAGTACATTTTTCCCAGGTATTTCAGAAGTAATCATTGTATAATAATTTTCAGCATTTTCTCAGGAACTTTTCTGGTGAACCAAGGTATAGTGAAACAAAGACAGATTCTGAAGAGGTTAAAAAATAAATATGTATAATGCATATTTGTGTAACTAAGCAATTTCTCAGTGGTACAGTAAATATACAAAGACTACATACCTGCATTGGTTATGGATTCTACCTGGATGAATGCTGATATAGGGTGACACAGTTTTATCCACATAGGATCCAAATCCAAGTCGAAAATCAAGAGAAATATTTGCCATCTTTTTTGATAAAGCAAACCCAACAGAGTTTAGCTTTTCTATATTGTTGTGCATAGAGGCCGAGACATCAACTAAATAATAAAGATCCACAGGGTATTTCTCCAGAGGACGAACTTTTAACATAAAGTTTGCTTCACTTCCTGATTCAAAGGAAACAAGTTTATTTACTATTTTTGAATGGACACTCTTAAAAATACATTTATCTTTGCAGCAACCTCAGCACAAAGTTGTTTGTGTCAGCAAACAGAAAAACAAACAAACAAGAAAACCTCCCAAGAGTAAGTTAAACCTTGAATCACTGTTCAAAAATAAGCCATAAAAGGGCTCTTTAGAAATTATCTTACTTTTTTTTTTTTTTTTTCTTGCAAGAGCACTGTGAAATTTATTGTAAAAATCTGACTTCTCCCCATTTTGTTTTAAATTCCTGGTTATGCAATCCCTTTGGCATTATATCAAAAAGCGGTTATGACTCACAAAGGACATAGATCTGCATACAAATTGTGGTCACTCACTTCAAGGTTGACACTTCTAAGTATGTAAGTGTGTCCTGGTTTGAGGACAAAATCAATTAAGAGAATCAATTTTCTGTTCAGTAATTTCAACTTTCAGTTAAGTTTCTTCTAACTAACTGCACTCTGAAACTACCAGCATAGTTTATCCTAAAAGTAGTGTAAAACTGAGTGTAAAACTGTATGTGTACCATAAAGACAGCACAGCCTGAAAAACACATAAGTTATGCTTCAAATTTATAGCAATCCACTTCCAAAGATTTGATGAGAAAACTCAGTAGGCTTAAAATATAACAAACCACCCCCCAGGTTTTAATATTAAAAGAATCCACTTTTTGGTGTATACAAAACATCTTTTATTTCAGGCTGACAAATGCCTGTCTCTCCTGCAGAACCCCAACACGTTCTCATATGTAATAAAAACATTAATGCTTTGGAAGCCACTAAAAATAAAAAATAAAAATAGTCCCCACATTTTTGCTTGTCTAATATTCTGTAAAGCCAGAAAAAAGAGTGAAGTGACTGGAGTATGGGCAGCTTAGGTACAGTAATGCATAACTTCAAATTGTTCATTATTCTCTGTCACTCAAAGTGTGAGCTCACAGAAGAAATGAGGGAGTAGGATCTTTTGTTTGACAAGTGCAGAGTGTAATTCAGTATTATGAAATGGAGATACAGCAAAGGACAGGAGGAAGGGAGACACAGAGTAGCGATAGGACAAGGGGTAATGGCTTTAAACTGAAAAAGGGGAGATTTAGATTAGATATTGGGAAGAAATTCTTTATTCTGAGGGTGGTGAGACATTAGAACAAGTTGCCCAGAGAAGCTGTGGCTGCCCCATCCTTGGAGGGGTTCAAGGCCAGGCTGGATGGGGCTTTGAGCAACCTGGTGGGAGGTGTCCCTGCCCAGGGCAGGGGGGTTGGAAATCGAGGACCTTTAAGGTCGCTTCCAACCCAAACCATTCTATGATTATATAGAAGAATTATGCAGGTTTTCAATAAAAGCTGTCTAAACATATTCAGAAACAGATTCACTGAAAAAACCTCACCTGAAATTGATGATCTTTAAGGTCCCTTCCAACTCTAACCATTCTATGAAATGTGACTTATCTATTTGTGACATTTACTAATCCATGACATTGCTAGATAGCATAATTAAAGCACATGTAACAAAGACATGACGCAGAAAAGTGAAACATGAAAAGTACTTTTTTCCAGTGGCCTTTGAACATAATCCACCTGAAAATATCAGGATTTGTCTGTATCAGGTCTTGCATGTAGAAAACAGAATTTCAGTGTGCTGTAACTTATGTATTTCCTCTTGGTCAGTGTAAATCAAATTACTTTTTGTAAATGACCCTCTGGTTTGCGTACAGCGAGCTGCTCAGTGCAGCTTTTACTTTTTCCCACGTAAATCCTGACACTTGGGTATATGTAAACAATGACAAAAAACCCAGTTTCAAAATAAAAAACATCTTTGCATGATTATACTGTATCAAATTTCTGTTTTGAGGCACAACTATAGCCGTATATCTGTGTATTTCCCTGGGGAATAAAATTCTGGCAGGATGTCTATATATCAAAAGTTATTCTTCTGGAGCCCTCGGAATTTCATTCTTCTGACTCCCTGATGCAAGAACTTCCACAAAGCATATGGAACTCCCAAACTTATCTTCACTATTTGCTGGAAAAAAAGATGCATTAAACCATAAAAGGACTTGTAGATTTTATTAGGGCCAAGTGTCTCATAGTTTATAAATTAAATGTTAGGCAGTGAATAGTTAAGTCTCACTGAGGAACCCAGTCCTTTCTTATATATTGGCTTGGGTGTCTTCATAGGTGTCTAGTCAATGCACTTAAAAGTAACCAAATAATCAAGAAGCTTATCAAATGATGAATTTAGGAATTCTAGCCCAATTTACTTTCAGTAAGGAATACAGTTTATATGTATGTAAAGAAAAACTTTTTGTGTAAGTGGCTAAAGAAAAAGAATCAAGAAACCACAACAGAAAACAGAAAAGACTAACTAAAATCCCTTTTCCACTTATTACTTGCATTATTCTGACCTTCAGCTGTGTTTGACAGAAACACTTCTTGCTGAAGACCATACTTGAATATTTAGCAACATCATCATAGTCCTATAATATAATGTCACAGCACCATTCTTCAAAATAATTATTCCAATGGCTTCTTCACAAAATATCTGTATTTAGTAGTACTGTATTTAGTTTAAATTGACTATAATATCAATGTATTAGAGATAAACCAACCTGGACGCAGTTGGACTGAAACTTTTCCTGGTGTCACTTGTGTATTTGTTTCATGGTCACTGGGTATTGTGACATGAACTGTGGGATTTTCCACAAAATCTGATTGGCAGCCTCTTTTCATTAAGTTGAAAACAGTGTCACAGCGTCCTTTCTGTGTTGCGTCGGCCATGAAATCCTGTTTTATAAGAGACAAAAAGTACAAAACAATCTGAGCTGAAAAAAACAACTGCAATATCTTCAAAGGAAAGAGAAAAACAAAATAATAGTCTTTGAAACAATAAAATATGCTACTATAATTGCATAAATTGTAGAACGAGTTAATGGAAGCCATATGTTTTTAATAAGGGCAATGACAAAATATTTAAATTAGAAGTTAAACCTAATAGTCACAATGACTTTTTTCTATAAAGGACAACGCTTTTGTATGAGAAGGAGGATCTTGCACAATCAGAACAAGCTGGCTTTGGAGGAAAAGGAAACCACGTACTGTCACTAAGTCACCAAAAAAAGTTCTGTGCTATGCTATGAGTTAGTTAAACCAAGAAAGTATCATTCACACTGAATCAAAACAGGTTAGTTTTCAGAGGAATCTACTATTATGTTACTCAGGCTAATACTTAAAAATAGCAGCAGAAGTCAGTGTGAGATTTATCTAACCTGAATTTGTCTATCACAGACGTTTTACCCAATACCCTACACCAAATCCAAAGACCAGCTGGACTACATCATTTGAAACCACAGAGAGAGAAAGCTATGTAGTACAATACTGGACAGTTTAAGATGCCACCAATTATAAAAAAGCCCCTGTAATAACAGAAAAGTTATTAGTAGTCGGATGATCTCAGAAGCAGCGTATCCTTTGTTGCAGCGAAAGGGCAAAGTTGCCAAAATTGTGCCAACACGATCCAATGCAAAATTCCTTCCTGACCACAAATCTGATGATTAACATGATCCTGATCATGCAAGGAAAAAAAAAGACAAGAATCTTTGTACTCTTTCAAAGCACTGGTCAATCCCAGCCACAGCTGGGGACCAAACAATGGACAGTCTCTGATATTTCAGAGGCAGATGGGGAAAATAAACAATCAAAAAGTGCATGCAGCCAACTGTGTATGACCAAATAGTCTTCCAGACCCTGAAAAGGCCAGAGAAAGCCCCTGAAGAATAAGACTCAACAGTCATGTACCTTGTCTTCCGAGGTCCAACTCATTTTTGTAGTCTGCCTCTGATATATTTTTTCCATAATCTTCTTTAATGTAGACAACAGAGACAGCTTTTTAATGTTACTGCTATTTATATACCCTTTTTGATGTATATACGTTTCAAAAAGGTAGATTTTTGAATGTGTAGAGATCTTAGCTACTCTCATTGTTACTGCTTAGGACTGACAGATATGTAGTATTTTCTGAATTCGCTGTGTGTGGGTATGAAGTCAAAGCATCCCAAGTGGTGGGATGACTTTCTCATTAAAAACATTGTTTAGACGAAGCAGGCATGCTAAGATGAGAACTGCTCCTGTAACTTTACTCTGGGAAATTTCTATCTGAATTAACATGGGTTTGCCATTCTACAACCATGGACGGGCGCTGAGGTAAACATGGTCTAAGGGGGTTTGACCAACCCCTGGCTTCCATCAACAGCTCTTAGGACTGACGTGAGCAGTGATGCAAGAGCAGCAGGGTACAAGTGAAACCTCCTCAAATCTGAGCGCCTTGTTAGAAGGAACTTTCCATACCACCGGGAAAGAGAGTAGAGTTGCTCTCTACAACTACCTGAAAGGAGGGTGTAGAGAGGTGAAGGTTGGTCTCTTTTCTCAAGTCACAGGCGACAGGACAAGAGGAAATGGCCTCAAGTTGCACCAGGGTAGGTTCAGGCTGGATATTAGGAAAAATTTTTTCACTGAAAGGGTTATCAGCCATTGGAATGGGCTGCCCAGGGAGGTGGTTGAGGCACCATCCCTGGAGGTGTTCAAAAGACAGGTTGATGTAGTGCTGGGAGGTATGGTTTAGTGATGGTGCTCCTTGTTTGTTGTGTGGGTGTCTATTTTTGTCAGTTAGGTTGACGGTTGGACAAGATGATCTTTGAGGTCCCTTCCAACCTAGAAGACTCTGTGATTCTGTGAAGCTAAGAAGTGCTATTCCTTGATAAATACAGATGTAGCAGGATAAAACTGTGCCCTTTGTAAGAGATGACATCAGGTCACAATAATGGACCACTTCCACATTGTAATCCATTGTGCCGTCTACACACACCCTAACGCTCCTTTGGAATACAAGCCCTCCATGCCTCTGCTGCATTACTTTCCCTTATACTTTTTATAGATTAAGTTAATCATTCCAAGACACAGTATCTTGGATAAAGTTACACCAGTGCTTTATACTCCTTATCTCTTCCAGGCACACCCTAGGAATTTTTCTGCCTTCTCTGCTAATGAAAGCTACTACAGATAATCTGCATGTGACCTTCAAGAGCATATGAATTTGTAATTGGAAGGGTTATTCTTAAAAAGCTTCCTCCTCTGAAGCGCTTAAAATGGTCCAGCCTTACTTGAAATCATGTAATCAACTGGGGTTTTTTTCTGTCAAACAAAACCAGAAATTCCCATATTCTTACAGTTTGCAAAGCAATAACAATTTCAGAAAAATTCTTGCTACCAAAGACCTACCTTCTGTGATAAGTGTCAGAATTGATAGTTTCAAGTGCAAAAATAAGAAAAGTATCATTTTTTCCATTAATGACAGGGTCATAATATATGGTGAAGTCAAAGTTAACTCCACTGTTAGTAAAACCTTTTGCTAAATGCAATCAGCACATGTGTATAGACATGCTCTGATATATAATGAGGATTTAATATAAATTACTGATAAGTAATTTTGCTTTTGAAGCCAAAAATTGTTGAACTCTCAATGTTACTGTAAGTCTGCCAAAGCTGTCTACAAAGCAGATGGAACGCATTAAAAAGTTCTCACTTTATTTAAAATTACTGCAATTTTCCAAATAAAAGGTTGTATTTTCTCCTTTGGAAACAAAATATATTTCACATGATTTCTCAGGTTCTGTCTCCGGAGGTCATTAAAGACTTTCTTGTCATTTCTCACTATAATTTTCACAGTTTAAAAGCCTTTTATCTTTATAAAGATCACAAGCAGCTAAAATATAAAATCAAAAGCAAGTAAGTAAAATGCCATACCTCTTGAGCACACCATCCACACTCTGGACCCAAAGCAAGACACTTTGTGCATGTTGCTGCATTCGAAGTGGCACATCTGTTTTCCGCTGCAGTGAAATATAAAACCAAACATTCATGATTTATGAAGATATGTGGGAATTGTAAAATACCTAATTTTAAACCAAGATTTCAAAAATTACTTCACCAGATTAAAAGTGATGACAACGTATCCAAACAGAAGTAAAACAGAACAAAGGCATCCCAGGGAGGGAATACTTGCAGCCTTTTTTTTTATCTACAGTGTAGAACTATGTATGCAGATTGAATAAACTCCATTCTCAAGGCCAAATTTTTAAGATCCTGACTTAGAATAATTTTGAAGTGAAAGTTTATCTTTGGCATGTACCTTGCTGATTTACTGCCTAACAGAAAAAAAATTTACCAGGTAGCTTATCTTTTCATAGACTTTTCTCCTTTAAAGTCATTTACACTTGACTGAGTTATTCATTATTCACTCTTTAAGGAACCCAAGATATTTTCTCACTTTCTATAAATATTCCCCCTCTGCATTTTCTGGAATGAATAGTTTCCCAGAAGAGGCAGCCTTTTCTTTTTTTTTTCCAGAAGCAAATACAAATTTATCCAACATTACGTGTGTCACAGATTGAAGACACATCATCCTGTACTAACAACTCCAAAAACGGTGCCTACTAACAGGTCTATCAGCAAAGTCCTTTATTGCCTTTTCCCGCCTTTGTTTTATGGGTCATTGCTTGAGTTACTACTCTTTGCTATGAAACTTTGGCAGTTGGAATTGGGAAGAAGAGAGAGCCTTTTCAAGGGACTCTGACAACCCCAAGCTGAATGTCAGCATTAGCGTATCCTTTGGGCACGTTCAGCACAAGTCTCTTGTGGACCAGTTGACTCTACAGGAGACAGAAGTCACTTGCCAAGAGTCATGCAGCAGGCATGACTCTTCATGGACCAGCACAGCAGTAGCCCTGTTTAACAGCACTGCTTTGGGGCATATTCAGCGTGGCATATTAAAAAATATACTGGAAGCAAAATAAAATCAATTCCTGTATACTGGAAAGGCTACATCTGTTAATTGGTCCGTAGTGATAACGTGCGTATCATCATAGCAAAACGGTTTGAAGAAAGGTTTGGTTTTCATCCAAAGTTTTGGCTACACGTACTGTCTCTCGGATTCTTTCTTTCCAATCTGCAATAATCCAAACCATCTCTCTTTTTAGAGTAAAGAGAGCAACTTCTCACGGTGAAAAGCTGCGTTAGGAAAGCATGTACTAAGATATCTTTTTTATCTTTAAGTGATTTCAATATGGATTCAAAGATGAGATCCCGTATTATATGAACAGCTATTCCTCAATAGGTCACTTTGAATAACTCAGGATCCAAGGAACTAATCACAGCTTGCAAGTTATCAGTATCCTTATATATACCACTATCAGTATTAACAAGATAGAAAAGCCTAGTACAACATAACTGCAGCATTACACTGATAATGTATAGGTTATTGGCAATTTCACTAATTTCAAAGGCCAGACTTATATTCTATTTCATATAAATGGCTGTTGATAACTTTTACCAAGCGGGTGATGTGAGAAAAGAAATGTATATGAAAGGGAGAGAAATTCCTACAGATACGATAGAAACAATATGCTGAAAAGCAGCCCAGGAACACCTGGAAAACTGATTAAAGGGTGGGAGAGGTGGGCAGGGATAAATAAAGGAGTCACTAAGGGGAGAGAAAAGAACAAGACAAAATCCAAAAGTTTTTTGTTTGTTTCTTATAAAGACAAACACAGCAAGTTTGAGTTGGATGTGAAAGGAGAGCAAGCCCATTCGGCACTGACACGATAAAACTTCTTTGCATTTATAAGAAGGCAGCAACAGCACGTTATGTTCTGCAGTCTGAAAGAGCAGACCTGGAGGCCATAGGAAAAGTTACCGCAAACCACAGGAGAGGAGAAGGAGGATGAGGATTCCAGGTAGGTTCCGACATGCACAGGATTGTAGAGCTTGCCACAGATCCCTTTCTAGACTGTACTGGTAAAGCGCAAAGACACGGGATGAAAAGTTGTTGAAGGAGTAAAAATAAAAGGAATGTAATTGTTCTTGGCACAGAAACATCCCTCCCATCTTCAAGTGGATACCAAAGGCTACAGAGATGAAAGGCTTTACAAGAAAAAGAGAGGAAAGTGATGGATTCAGTAAAAGTGTGGAAGGACAAGGAAAGATATGAATTGCTGATCTGCAGCGTAATAGTGGCTAAAGACCACCATGGGGCAAAACGGGGAGGAGATGACCTGAACTTTGAAGTTACCAATCAAGTTATCATCCACCATAAGAGACAGAGCTGTTCTGATAAGAATAAATAGTTGAGAGGAAGAAATGAGAGACCTGTGCTTCTAGTTATACAGATAAGGAGTGAGTCAAATTAATTCCTGGTCGCTGTAATCAGTAAACCAAATGGGTTTGGCCCAATTAATTTTCTGCAGTAATGTCTGAGACTCCATTTGTAAAATGTATAATCCAATCTGCATAACAACGTTTCCCTAAATTAAAGGCCATTGACCATGCAACAAAATACTAACAACTTATTGTAATGTGCACTTGCTAAAAAAAAACAGTATGTGCTTATGATGCACTGGAAAACTGACTGAAAAATAATTATCCTTTTTTTTTTTTTTCTGTATGGTTAGTTTATTGAATCTATTGAAGCTTGATTTAGTTTCTTAATACAGCCTACCTTGTAAAACATTGCGTGGGAAAGGGGCATTTCTTTCTAAAATGCTAAGGCAGGACATCTTAAAAACCAGTTTGGGTTTGCAATGTGATCATGGCAGATGAAATGTTTTAACAAATGAGATATACATTATTGCTGGATGCAAATCTCTTTGCTGATAACTCTCCAGTCTCAAGAGCTCCATTTTCGCAACATGAAGTCATGGATTGGCAATTGATAAGCTTGGTACCATTGGCTCAAAAATTTGATTTTTTTGGAATAAAGAGAAACTTGAAAAAGGTTTATTAATGCCCGAGACACATTCTGGCTACATCACTACGGTAGGTCCCAAGTACATAGTCCCTTATAGCACTAACATTTATGGACATGCTTTCATTCACCAAATATTTATTATTTACTTATAAGCCTACTCTAAAAGTGTAACTGATTTAGTATAAACTTTTCAGTTTCTTTTAAAAATCATATGTTAAAGCAAGAAAAAAAAAATTTTTATGAGTTGGCTCAAAAAAGAACAGAGATTTTTCCTGCCACTTCACCAAAAACAGAGTCCAGACAAGACTCAGTTACTGTTCAGCCAAAGCTAAGGGCAAGTTTCTACTGGCTCAGTTATAACTGATGTATGCCAAAAGGTATTTTCAACAAGGGCCAAATTTTGTGCTGGGAACTGCACAGGCATATGCATATAATAAAAAGTGAGCACAGCAGGTTAAACTGCACTTTTCCAGCCTCCTCCACAAAATACAACCGTGCTCCAACAACTGCAGCTATTTACAGGGATCCCAGGTGTGGCAAGCCTAAACTCTGCAACAAGAGGGATCAAGGCAAGGCAAATATCATTTAAGGTATAATCATATCCTGCCTCCCTATTATGAAAATAACTTTATCGTGATCGGGGTATTTATCTCAGTGATGGAATAACAATAATGCATACTGGTGTTTGAGAGGGGATGTTGAGCAGTTTTTCAAACAGACAGCATTTTGTTCAAGTACAGCCAAGAATTCGGATTTATATCAACTTCACTGTTGGTACACGTTTGTGCTGTTCTTGGAGGATGTACCATTTGCTTTCTTCAAAGAGAAAGCCAAAATATTACTAGCAGCTTACACACCCTGATCATGGTCCTCAAACTTGTTGAATGCTAGTTAAGGTTTTTTCCTTAAATTCTGTGTTCAATCTTGTTCTAGGGCAGCAACCAGCCAGGCTGCCCCTCTCCACTGACAACGTGGCCTTCAGGAACGTGTGTGTAGCATCACTTCTGAGGAAAGCTGCAGCTTTTATGCAGTACACTGCAGTTTTCACCTTGCTGTCTTCAGGAGCTAAGCAACATGACTCCTGGAGAGGGGACAGCCAGGAACTGTCCCAGCTAACACACACCTTCCCAGTTCACTTCGGCTGAACGTGCAGATACAATGAAAAGCGATGTAAAAATGCTACATAAGGGGGATTCTTTTTTTTCCATGATTATTGTGTCTGACACTTACTTGCTCAGATTACAAGGAAAAAATGAGTGCCTCTGCTTTAACTGCCAATCCTAAACCCTAAACCTGGAATTAGGGTTTTTTCCCCCCTTTTTTTCCAAACAAGCAGTAATTCCTTCTACCCCTTGTGCACAAGGCCATGCTTTAAACACACTCTTTGTTACCACCAGTTTTTCCAAGGGGGTTCCAAGGTCCGGCGTAAAATCAGCTTTAAGAGGTTCTCACACTTGGCCAGAAAAGGAGATTTCTACTTGAATACTGTACATCTATTATGCTTTATAGCAAATTCCTAAGATTACCTGAGCAAAAATAACAGACAGCTTCTCCTCCCTCTCCCTTTTTTCTACTACATGAATTTGTTAATTGGGTTCCCTTCTCTATTAATGGTTGTCCACTTTAGTTTCACTATTCAGACAGGAGCTAAGCTGCACACAGATTTGAAAATATCTTATGCAAGAGAAGCATCAGGAAACTCAAACTTGGTATGTAAGAGACTCATGTGTTTGCTAAGAAAAAGAAGATGTGTAAAAGAAAGGTGCAAAACATGACTTGCATAGTTAAACTCTGAGCCCTGGAAAAATACTTGGCAAGTGGCTAAAAACACCTTTCCATTAAAACAAACAAGCAAACAAACAAACAAGAAAAACTCCAAACCAAAAAATACCCTTGACTTTCTTTTTCTACCAGCTCTTAAAAAAATAATAATCATATAATTATAATAATATATAATAATAATAATTTATGTTCTTAAAAAAAATAAGTGTTACTGTGTTCCTAAAAAGAAAAATGGAGTATACAGGAAGACAGAAACCATGATGTGTTTACAGAGATTAGAGATATAAATGAGACATAAATAAGAAG